ATATACAAGTCCTATTTATCATCACAGTATTAAAAGAAACCTAGTTCTTTTTTCCCTTGGTTTCATAGTTAGAATGGGATGATCTAGTAGGCAGTGAAGTTGAGAGTATTTTCATTTTCCTTTTGTTTTGTTTTTATACATTTTCATTGAGCTTTTTAGTGGGATATTGATTTTATCTTTGTAGAACAAGTCCCCTAGTTTATTCTTACCTTCTTTAGAATCTAACTTAAAGTAAATGTTACTGTTACGTTTTGGATTTGCAGTATCCCCTTGAAACACTGTGTTGGGTGATACAGTAGTGTTTAGAGGTGAAAAGACTGGATTGTGAGAGTTCTAACCTCATCAGTGGATTAATAATTTGTATAGACAATTGGATGGTAACATAGGCAGGTAAGTTTGGCTAAAGGAAATAGGTCATTAGTAAATGTATCTGTCCCTGGTCCCTTCCTGCCTCTCTGTTTGTGCTTCCCAGCTGCCCTGATATGAGCAGCTTTCCTCCACCATGCTCTTCCACCATGATGTCTAGGCAGTAGAGAATGCAGATCATGGATCAAAATCTCTGAAATTGTGAGCCAAGATAAATCTTTCCTCCTTTAAGTTCTTCTTTGGGTCACAGCCATGCAAATCTGAGTAACACAATTACCTTGCATGTTTGGTAACTTTTCTTCTCAGTCTCAAAGTAGAAACAATGATAGAAAAATAATTAGCATTTTAATAGTGTCAGAGCTGGGCACATTGGCATACACCTTTAACCTAGCATATTGGCACACACCTGTAATCCCACCAGTTCGGGAGGCTGAGACAGGAAGATCATGAGTTCAAAGTTAGCCTCAGCAATTTATCCAGGCCCTAAGCAAATCAGTGAGACCTGTCTCTAAATAAAATATCAAAAGGGCTGGGGATGTGGTTTAGTGGTAAAGCACCTCTGGGTTCAATCCCTGGTGCCCAAAATGTGTGTGTGTGTGTGTGTGTGTGTGTGTGTGTGTGTGTGTGTGTGTAAACTAAATGGGTGCAGTGGAAAAATGCCTGTAATTCCTTCTATTTTGTATGGCCGAGGCAGGAGGATCATCAGCTCAAAACCAGCCTAGGTAACTTAGCAAGACCCTGTCTGAAAATAAAAATTTAAAATGACTAGGCATAAAGTCATTGCTTTATATATTTTGAGAGTTCAGTAGAAGGCATCCAAAAATGAGTAGTTTAACTCAAGGGTATAGTATTGGAGAAGTACATTGCCAGCTTGCAAAACTTACAACCAAATTTTTTTTCCCTAATCTTCAGTTTGTATCCATTGTTTCCTAAATAATAACATCATCAGTCATTGTGGATATGGGAATGTCAACACATATGGTTTGCCCTATACATGGTAAAAAAAAAAAAAAAAATCTGCTTTGTGACTTAAACTGTGAGATCTTAACAAAAGATTACTATTCGATCACAAAAATTTTAACACTCTCATTATTTGTCCATGTGTAAAATTATAGCTTATTCATAGCATCAGACATTTTAAAAATATCAGAAAATATGGTAATGAGCCAGTTGTGGTTGCACATATATGTAATCCCAGTGACTGGGGAAACTGAGGCAGGAAGATCACAAATTCAAGGCCAGCCCCAGCAACTTAGTGAGGCCCTAAGCAACTTGGCCAGATGATTTCTGAAAATAAAAAAGGACGAAGCTTCCTTCTTTTGCTCCATATATAATTTCCACTTTCCACATGTGTCATAATACAAAAAATTTGATAAATAATGGTTTAGGAAAATGCCATTATATAACATAGTGGAATCTCCACCAAGAATTTCCAGGATATCAGAAGTCAAAAATAAAATCTAATAGCTAAATTTTAATATGACCTGCATTTTTTAAATTGTGGTAAAATATATAAACATACAGTTCAGGCATTTAATACATTCAGTTTGCTGTACAGCCATTATCACCATCTTTGCCAGAGTCTCTCCATAACCCATTAAACATTAAATACCCCTTCTTTCCTTCCTTGGCTTGATAACCCCCATTTTACTTTCTGTATCTGAATTTGACTACTCTGGTTGCCTCCTTAAAGTAAGTGATTATATAGTGTTTGATCTTTTGGCTGACTTACTAAAATATCTTAGAGGCTCTCATCTTGAGCAACTTTGTTGCCCTTCAGGTTCATTCATGTTGTAACATGTATTAGAATTTGTTTTAAAACTGAAAAACATTCCACTATGTGCCACATTTTTTTAATGTTTTAACCTTTCAATTGGTTTGCCCTATGACTATTTTGAATAAGGCAGCTATGCATGACATACAAATATCCATTTGAGTTTGCATGTATTTTCTTTGCTCTGAGTCACCATAGATTCCAAGTCACATCTGTGGTGAGAGGAAACTATTCCCCAGGCATTAGTAACTCTTATCACCGCCTGACCAGTCCTGAGATAATGATTAAGCAGACCATAGTTTGACCAAGACTGTTGGACTATGTGTAATATTTCTGGTCTCCATTATCTACATAATTTGGAAGCGCATGTTAGTACCCTGAGGACAAGGCTAAAATGCTTTATCTCACTTTTCCTTCTAATTATGACCATATTTATTGTACTTCTTTCCCTGCTTTTCATCATTCCTTTTTTGTTTGCTGTTTGGGGCCTGTGGCATGATGTGTTAGTAAATCCCAGAATAGGACCTCCTGACCTAGGACTCCTAACACCTTTCTTTTGATTATATATCCAGAAGTAGATTTAAAACAAAGAATGGCTGTAGTATGAAGAAAGCTGAGCATTATATTATCTTGATGTTCCAACTTTAAAAATTATGATATACTCAAATAATAAGAAGATACTTTCTAAATATTACTTGTAGCCATTGTTATTTCTTAAAATAAACTTATTCCTTCCATACAGTGGAAAAATATATCATGTGGAAAGTATTTTTAGCAAAATTTGGCCAACTAATAGTAACAAATATATGAAAAAAGTTCAACACCTAGTTACAGAAATGTAAATCAAACTACTCTTAAGATTTTTATCTCACTCCAGTCAGAATGGCAATTATCAAGGATACAAGCAACAATAAATGTTGGCAAGAATGTAGGGGAAGAGATACACTCATACATTGCTGATGGGACTGCAGATTGATGCAACCACTCTGGAAAGCAGTATGGAAATTCCTCAGAAAATTTGGAATTTAATCACTATTTGACTCAGCCATCCCACTCCTCAGTTTATACCCAAAGGACTTAAAATCAGCATACTATAGTGCAGCCACATCAATGTTTATAGCAGCTTAACTCAAAATAGGTAAACTATGGACCAACCTTCTGATACACAGATGCTAATTCATAATAGGTGGAGGTTAGGGAAGAATAGAGGTACTTTGGATTAGGCAGAGGGGAATGAAGGGAGGGGAGGGGGTATGGGGGTAGGAAAAAATAGAATGAATCAGATATTGTTACCCTAGGTGCATATATGACTACACAACCAGTGTGATTCTATATCATGTACAACCAGAAGGATGAGAAGTTACACTCTATTTATGTATAATGTGTCAAAATGCATTCTACTGTCTTGTATAACTAATTAGAACAAAGAAAAAAAGGAATGGGCTGGCTTTACAGCTACAAAAAAAAGTGATATTTACCTTTGAATCCATTTCTTCTGAATTCATCACAATAAAACATTTGCATTTGAGTTCTTTATTATAAAGAGAATGTATGGGTTCTGTAATTAGAAAAACAATGTTTACTAATGTATCTATTTCAACTGAATTTTATTAAAGGAAAGTATTTGCATGAGTCCTTTGTAATGAGATTGTATTGATGTTCCTACAATATCTTTACATAGTAATTTCTCTGTTGATCCTTTGGGAAAAGGTGTTAAATTTTTTAATTTAATTTTAGGTCATTCATCACATAAGATTAAAAGCAACCTGAAAGAATTCTCTAAATTAAATATTTATTTCACATAGATGGATATATATACCTGTGTATATTTATTAGTCTAAAAAACTTTAGGAAATCTTTAAGATTTCATAAAGACCTTCCCAGGCCATCTAAATTATTAAAGTTTATTGTCAAATCTCCTTTGTCTTTTAAGCTTTTTGGCTAGGTATAAGAATACTCCAAATAAGGTTGAAATTCCCCCACCACTTAACATGGGAGTTATATTCCAAGGCTGCCAGTAGAACAGTTGTAGCAATGTGCAGGCCTACCTGAATTGCCAACATCATTACTCTTGGAACCATTATTAAGTAAAATAAGAGTTACTTGAACACAAGCACTATGATACCACAAGAAGTCCATCTTTTGACAACTACTAAGTGTCTACTGGGCATGTACCATATATGGCCTGGATACACTAATATGGACCAAGGAATGATTTCATGCTCCAGGCAGGATGAAGTGAAATTTCATCACACTGCTCAGAAAACTGCATAATTTAAAACATAAGAATTACCTGGTTGCAGTAGCACACACCTATAAACCAACTATCCAAGAAGTTGAGGCAGGAGGATGGCAAGTTTGAGATCAGCCTGGAAAATAGTGACATGGCAAAACTTTGTCTCAAAAAAATAGATAGATAGATAGATAAGAAGGACTGGGGTTGTAACTGAATGTAGAGTGGTACTGGCTTAAATTTCCAATACCACCAAAATAAAATTTACAAGTTATTTCTGAATTTTTCCATTTAATATTTCATACCACAGTTGGCCTTGGGTAACTGAAAATATAGATAAAGGAGTGCTTCTGTTGTAGCTGGGTCTTCATTTCTTCTCCTATTAGACTGGAACTATATGGTCTTATTGAAGTCTTACATTATTTTGGTCTATATATCTGCTGAACTATAATGTTCCTCTTGTAAACTTTTTCTTTTTTGTTGTTGTTTTGGTTTGTTTGTTTAGTGCTGGAGGTGAAACTTAAGGCCTCATACATGTTGGGCAAGCATAATGTATCATTGTTATACCCCCAGACCACATTTTAAAATTCATACCGATTTTTTAAATATCTGTTTTTCCTTTTTTAGCTCTATGCAGGAGCTATTCTTGAAGTCTGTGGATGAAAATTGGGGAGGTTCCCTCAAGTCCAAGGTATGTAGTAAACTGTTTAATCATTTAAAATCAATATTGCAGAAGAATAGTTTCATTAAATAATTTCACAAATAAGAATTTTCAGGATTATACTTTCTCAGTAGTATGCGAAGTTTTTTCACATTTCTTTTTATGGAGGTGGAGTTTTGTCATAATCGGTGAATACCAAGTTACTGTCCTATAAACAAACAGCATATGAAATTTAGATTTAAAACAATGTGTGAAGTGATTGTATTTTTAAAAGGACACTGCATTTCTTTTGCCAGGTCAAATCTTTGACAGCCTTTCCTTTACCAGATATAAATGTATTTACTTTGAATAACATACCATTCTAGTTTATTTTTAATGTGAATTTATTTACTTAGAACTCCTAAGGATCAGTTGTATGAAGTGAAAGTAGACTGGTGCAACATGACAAATCACCAAGAGAATAAGTACCATAAAATTTGTAATACACAAAAGAAAGCCATAATGTGTATATCCTTGCGGGGAGTTTAATGGTAAATATATTAAAGGATAATTATAAAAATATGTTCTTTTGGTTAATATTAAATAGTAATAGAACTTTTATCTCCAAGGAGGCTTCAACTAATGCTTTTTTATTCTACTCTTACATGTCATTTGAAAATCAGTTTTATGAAATTGAACTTAACTGAAGGTAATGAAGCTCTGTTTTTATTTAACAGAAATATGAACATTTAATTAACTGTTCTGATAATGTGCCTAATTCTATTTTGACTTTGTCAATTTTCCCATGATTTATTTTCTTATTTACTTACTGACAAGAGAGTTTTTTGGATTTAGTATTTTTTAAAATTTCTTGTTAGCTCGTGCCTTTGATTCCTGACCTGGAATGGTTTTATACCAAATTACTGCTCATTTTGGCACAGAAATGTAATACAGTTGTTTTGAGGGACTTTTTTTAGGAGACCCCAAATAGATACACATACACATCTAATTGAATATATTCTTTGTTAGAATAATTACATATTCTGATATAGCACCCAATTTATTAAATATCTGTTCCCAGCAAATTTCTATTTATTCAAAATTTAGTTCCAACATTATTTTGGACAGAAATTTTTACTCTTTGTGTTCCATTAGCAGATCCCACATAATATTGTGCTATATTCAGCAAACTAGTCTTTTGCCTCTATCAAACTAGAAACTCCTTTAAATTCCAGATTTTTTTTATTTCTTAATATACCCAGAATCTACCACTATTCCATGAGAAATTCAATTGTTGAATTATTGCATTGATTTACTGAATTTTTCTAATTCAAGGAATGTCCCACTTTTGACAAATGGAAATTTAATAAAAAACCTTTTTAACATTGTGTATTTACTCTTGATTAATTTATAGGCTTTAAGCATTTCTTTTCTGATTTCGTTATTTTGTAACCAAGAAGTCAGACTTTCTAGTTAGTCTTGCTTTTGTGTTTTATCTCTGTGCCCTCCCAAATTCTCTTAAATATTTGGGTTTCCCTTTTCTGGATTTTTAAGTGCTTTTAAATTGTCTTCTTGGTATTGACTAAAATGACTCCTACTTTTGCACTCTAAAAGGTTCACATACAATAATAAATTTTCTCAGTTTAGATTTTTTGGAGGGTAGAAGGGATAACCAATAACTTACAATGAGTTCATTTGAAAATTCAATTATATTTAGTTATGCTGATTTTATATTATTGCTGGATATGGTATGGCATTTTTATTTAGAATTTATTGTAATTCATATGTACTCATCTAATCAAGAAAACATCTGTCCATCTATGTAATTTTATATAATGGTTCACAAGTCTTAATTATACCTGTCATCAGCTTCATTTTTTTTTAAATATTTATTTTCTAGGTGTAGATGGACACAACACAATGTCTTTATTTTTAGGTGGTGCTGAGGATCGAACCCCGGCCACTTAACATAAGGTGGTCACTTAACATAAGAACATTTTCTATAGATAGAGATAGGATTAATTTAAAAATCTCCAAATCAATATTATTAAGCTGTTTTTAAAACAACAGAAAGTAAACTAGAAAATATATTACCTTTATGAGATCATTTTGCAAGTTTGTGAACTTTTAACTCTAATATACCAGCAGAGTCCAATGACCTCAGTTTTCTTTGAATTTCTTTTTTTGGACTGTTCTTACTGTTTTTAAGGATTACTATTTTTGTTTACAAATTCTTTCTTAGAAATCTTTCAAAACATAAAGAGAAATTATACATGTTTTTTTAAAAAAAAATTCTGTTTTGCAGTTAACTCTGTTGGCTGTTGATTTATATATTTAAGAATTTGAGATCATTAACATCTCTTATTTACAACTGTGCTTAAAAAAAGACTCAAGATATAATAAGGATGATGGAATAATAAATGAATCATCAATATATATTATTCTTCAAGTTTGTTATTGTGTGCCCTAGAGTATGACACCATCTTTGTAATGTTTTGTATTGTTTTGTTTTGTTTTGCTTTCTTTCTTTTTTTAGCTTTCATTGAACTCATTTAGGGATTTCAAATCTGCCTTACTATATAGGGGCTGGGGTTATAGCTCAGTAGTAGAGATTTTGCCTTATACACGTGAGACACTGGGTTCAATCCTCAGCACCACATAAGAATAAATAAGTAAAGATATTATGTCCATCTTAAAAAAAAAAAAAACTTTAAAAAAAATCTGCCATAATGGTATAGAAGAAAATTGACAAAAGTATTTCAAAATGATCAAGTAGATCAGAATATGAATGCAAAGAGACACTTTAGACTTCTCTTGTCCAATTATGTAGCCACTAGTCAGCATGACTATTTCATTTAAATTAAATCAAAATTAATTTCCTGAGTCATAGTAGCCACATTTCAAATACTCAATAATCATCTTATCAAAACAAATCAGATATAGAATATTTCCATTATTGAAGAAAGTTCTATTAGTGCTGCTACAGACTATAAATGATAATAATAAAAGTAATGATATAAGCAAAATCTCAAGATTATGAATGAAATTTCATATGATAATATCTTCAATAAGTGGGCTAGGAATGTAGTTCAGTGGTAGAATACCTGTCTAGTATGCATGAGGCCCTGGGTTTGGTCACCAGCCCTGCAAATATAAAACTAAAAAATAAAAATAAATTTTAAAAAAATCTTGAATGAACTTTCTCACATTCAGAAATCAGTAAATAATATATATTACCGAAGACTTAAAGGAAATGTGATATTTTTATATCAAATCTTGAACCTACTAGAAATATATTTGAATTTTGGAATCAATTTTACAAGACAGCTTTGTTCCAGGTTCATATGTGAGTTAGTGAACACATAGTTGAGGCCAAACCACATTGCCTATTTTGTTATATTTACCTTCAAAATCAGAAAAATACAGAGTAAATACCTGAGTTTATTGTGTTTAAATTCATATTAAAATTTCTAATAGATTTGCTTTTTACTTTTACTTTACTTCTTTTGGAAAATTATTATGAAATCATTTAAAAATAGATGTATAAAACAAGATCCACTGAACTCAGGTGATAAATAGTGATGATTATTTTTCCTAATATTTTAGCTCTGTTGGAGTGGTGCCACAGCCCCATATTTATTTCCCTGGACTTCATTTACTATTTGCATATTTAACAACTCATGTAGCACATGAAATTTGATTATAATGTGTGATCATTAAACTAGAGGATTACAACAAATAACAATATTACATATTCAAATACCAATCTTTTGTAAAATGTTTAAAAATTCACTGTCACGTTGCTTATGATTTGTAAATCATCATGAGAGTTTTTCCTCAAACTATACCATGCTATATGTTTACCTGAGGAAATAAATACATTGCTACATTCAAAATTAAAATGGAGATTTCAGTATTGAATTTAAGGAGCTGTCATTTTTTTTCCTGACTGGATGGAGATCCAACGATACTATTGCCTTTCTTGCCATACATTTTCACCATTCATTTTCAATTTACTTTCTCCAGCAAAACATTTGGGGGCTATTTTGGCTATTGTGAAATATCAGTTTTTAGGAATAAATTGTTTGAAGTACTGAGAGATAAAATTCTTTTGGATCCTTCAGATATGTTGAAGAAAGGACATCATCTTGTATTCATGTCAATTTTTACATTTTCAGTTTCTCTAGTTCCATTTTTGTTGCCTCTTTCTTTAGCACCAACATGGTAAAGCCTCCTTTTTCTAAATTTGTACTCGTTAACTATCATTAATTTACCAGCATTTGGACTGAGGGTATAGCTCAGTGGTAGCATACTTGCCTAGCGTGCCTAAGGCCCTGCAGTGGATTGAACCCAGAGCCTTATACACTCTAAAAATATTTTTTACTAATGAACTGGATATCTCCTGTCTTCAGCAGTTGTTTTTATGATCACCTTTTATCCTTTTTAATTCTTGCATACCTGTTTAAATAAATCATGGGTTTCTTCCTCACTTCCACACCCTATAGGTTTCTCTAGATTAAAGAATTCTGGGCTGGGGATGAAGCTCAGTGGCAGAGCACTTGCCTGGCACATGTGAGGCACTGGATTCAATCCTTAGCACCACATATAAGTAAACAGAAAATAAAGGCAGTCTGTCCATCTACAACTACAATAAAATATATATTTTTTCATATTCTCATGGTCTGTCCAATGCCATATGTATAGAAGTTCTGAAATATTTGTTAAAAGATTTCTTTACTTGCCTGTAGGATGTGATTTGCCTGCTACAGGGCACTTAGCCTATATTCCCCACATTCAAAATTAGGATGCTGTGGATCTATGTTTAGCAGAGAAAAAAGGAAGGAACTGATGAAGATGGTCATAATGACTCAGTATTCCTTTTAAGTTAGTTCACTTATTTTAGCTTATTAAAATTCTTGAATGAGGGCTGGGGTTGTGGCTCAGAGGTAGAGCACTTACCTAGTACGTGCGAGGCCATGGGTTCGATCCTCAGCACCACATAAAAATAAATAAATAAAACAAAGGTATTGTGTCCAACTACAATAACATTTTTTTAACTCTATTGAGTGAATAAAAATGATTAAATGTGCTAAGCTCTAGTTGGGGAAAGAATTGCTCTTTCGTTTGTTTGTCATGGGTGGGAGGATACCGGAGATTGAACTCAGGGGCACTCAAATCACTGAGCCACATCCCCAGCCCTATTTTGTATTTTATTTAGAGACAGGATCTCACTGAGTTGCTTAGCATGTCGCCATTATTGAGGCTGGCTTTGAACTCATGATCCTCCAGTCTCAGCCTCCCGAACAGCTGGGATTATAGGTGTGCGCCACCGGCAAGATCCACTTTTTTTTTTTTTTAATACACTAGAGAGGTTTCTTATATTGTAAAAAAGATGTTTTGACACAAATTTAAAAGTGGTGTTATGTGATGTTTTGCACAGGGGTCACGTAGAATTTGCCATTCGGTCAGTCTAAAATGCAATAGGATATCATAAGATCACTTTTGTTTCGGAATTCAAGTACATGCCTTTGAACAAATTCTAAAGGCTGAAGTTTGTAGAGAAGATATGCTAATCAGCCAGAATAATAGTTTATTTTGAACTAAATTTTGTAGGGAAAATTACATGGGATATCTGATTGTCTACCAATAAGTCCTCAGAACCTTTAAAAATATATCATTTACTAATCTTTGTTTTGTTTTCCTAAATGTAAATATGTAAAGACCTTCATAATACAATACCTCTATAATACTGTTGCTCTTATTCTCAAAAGTATGTGTTACTTTAAAATCTTAAGAGATTAAATGACAAGAATTGTTACTAAGAATTAAGCAGGTATCTAGTCAGCCATGGCAGAGCATTCCTGGAATCCCAGAGATTTGGAAGGCTGAGGCAGGAGGATTGCCAAGGTCAGCCTCAGCAACTTAGTGAGACCCTTCACAGCTTAATAATATTCTGTCTCAAAACAAAAACTACTGAGGATATGATTCAGTGGAAAAGTGCTCTTGGTCTCAGTCCCCACAACTAGGAAGGGGACAAAAGAAGAGGTATTTAAATAAAACATATATTTATTTTAGAAAAAAATATTATAAACTTTTTAATTGGCACAATTAGAAATTATTATTGAAAAGTTCATAAAACATAGAATAGCAATAATCAAAATGGAGGGAAATATTAAAATTTCCCCAAATCTGTACTCCCTAATGTAGCTCTCTTAAAATAATAGTGTAACCCTCTTAAAATAATAACAGCATGTTTTTTGGTTTTTGTTTTTATATTGTTTAGTTTGGCCTTTTTCATTTAGAAATGAAACTTTGGATAAATATTTATCCAGTAATAGTTGTTGTTTTTAACAACCTTAAGAAACAAAACTTTTTCATTTCTTTATTTTTTTTTCTTTGTACTACTAGGGATCAAACCCAGGGCATCACATATGGTAGTCAAGCACTCCACTGCTCAAGAGTTTTGATTCATTTTGCTGAGTACCCTACGTAGGGTACTGTTTATATTTCCTCCCAAACTCACCTCCACCAAAATCTCTCTCTTCCTCTTTAACTTTTCTTATTCTAAAATCTTTTGTCGTTCTCAATATGGGTACCATGTTCATTTGTCTTTTTTTTTTTTTCCTATTAGTAAACTTTTATTTCAAGTGTTTCTTGACCATTCTTTCTCTTTATCAGTCTGTAAATCTCATCAGGGCAGAAGTTATATGTTTTATATAGCTTTTTCACTTTATTTCTGTTGTCAGACATTTAATAAATACTCAGTTTTTGTTAATTTAAATTTTTAATCCATCTGAAATGTATTTAAATATGAGATAGAGCGTGGGTACCTATTTTTACGGTTTTTTCCAAATAGGTTGTCTGTTTTCTCAAAGGGATTGAATAATTCACATGCTAGTAATATCTCCCTCCCCCACTCTAATTTGATAGCTGTATCATCTTTAAAAACTCTTTTAAGATATTTTTCTCTCTCTAAATTTCCTAATCTTCTTATTTGATATCCTAAAAGGTCCATCAGATCCAAATTCACCCCGAATGTTAACACCTGAAGCAAGAAAGGCATTAAAAATCATTGAAACATATATGGAAAATATGCATTTGGATAGAATTGATATAAGTTTGCCTTTATTATTTATTGTAATGCCAACAAAAAATATTCCTACAGGAGTATTTTGGCAAGAATGTCCATTATTATGGATACATTTATCTTATTTTCCTAACACTATTCTTACTAGGTATCCTGAGGCTGGTATTGGTGTGGTGAGAGGCTTGTGCGAAGCCGGTGGTGGCAGTTGGGCTCTGAGGGTTTTTTCCTGAGGAGCTGTTTTGTTTGGCGTGTGTAGTTCTAAAAATAAAGTTAGTTTCTTTTGACAAGTGGCTCCTGAATTGTGCCCAGCCAGACTGCAGCAAATCTGTATGTTTAAAATGTTCTGATATTACTGTTACATAGTACATTACTAAACAAATTCTTCCTTTATATTTTAATTTTTTAAACAACCTTGGCTGCTCTCATATATTTTTGTTGTTGTTGTTTGTGTTTATCTGTTTGCAGTATGGGTATTTAACTCAAATGTTCTAGGAAAGTGTTCTACCACTGAGCTAACTCCCCAGCTCTTTTCTTTTTTCTTTTGAGACAGGGTCTCATAAAGTTTCCTAGGCTGATATCAAACTTGGACTCCTGCCTCGAACTCCCTAGTAGTTGGGATTACAGGCATGGACTACTGCACCTGACTCATATGTTTACTCTTATAATTGAGCTACACTATAATGTAATAATAATATAGTGTACATATGTAAGAATTTTGTCAATTTCTAAAATTTCCATCGGAATGTGGGGTTTTAATTAAAACACTTAACAATGTCTTCAATATTAGTCTTCTCTTTAGGATAAGTCGTTGTTTAAATTAGTTTTTTAAACATAGGACATAAAGTTTCATTTGTTAAATTTATTTCCACTCTTTATTTTGATATCTATAGCCAGTTTGGATTTGGAAATGAAGAATTTGAATCTGTTTTTTTCTTTTTTCAGCTTTCGTCAGAAGTGATAAACCCAAACTATTCAGAGGACTACAAATCAAGGTAAGGTGATTAAAATGCAGTCCTTTTTTTTTACCCAGTATTCATTTTTTTGGTATTAAAATCAATACTTGGGTAAATAATTTTTTTAAATTTTGAAATTACTAAGCTTTATTTTTTAGTTTACTATAAACAGTATAACGTTTACAGAAATACTGAGCTTTCTTGAGTGTTTCCATATACTCTTTGACCCCCACCCTCACCCTCAGTTTCCCCTGTTATAACAGTGTTTACAGTTATTGAGCCAATATTGATATATTAGTATTAAGTAAATTCCATCATTTGCATTTAGGGTTTGTTTTAGTCAGTTTTTTCACACCATGACTAAAAGACTTCACAAGAATAATTTTAGAGGAGAAAAAGTTTATTTGGTGATAAGAGTTTCAAAGGTTTCTGTCCAAAGATAGCTGACTCCATTTATTGGGGCTAAGATGAGATAGAACATCTTAGCAGAAAGGTGTGGTGGATGAAAGCAGCTCAGGACATGGCAATCAGGAAGCAGAGGGCGAGACCTAAGTATGAATGTGAAATAACATTCTTTAGGTGGTGAGGACTGGGATGGAGATTGGATATCATAAATATAGGGAATATCAGTAGAGTAAAGGAGATAGGGAGGAAGGACAAGAAAGGGGAGGAAATTTGGATTGAATTCAACAAGATCACATAATATGCACACATCAATGTACCACAGGGAACTTCACTTTTATGTATTATGTAGAAAGCATCCAATCAATAAATAACCCATCACATGTGAGACCCTGGGTTCTATCCTCAGCACCACATTCTACAACTAAAAATATATATATATATTAAAATATATATATATATTAAAAATATATCTATATATATATTAAAAAAAACAAAAGTAGATTAGTGCCAGGCACAGAGGTGCATGCCTTTAATCCCAGCAGCTCAGGAGGCTGAGGCAAGAGGATCTTGAGTTCAAAGCTAGTTCGGCAACTTAGCGAGGCGCTAAGCTATTCAATGAGACCCTGTCTCTAAATAAAATATCAAAGGACTGGGGATGTGGCTCAGTGGTTGAGCACCCCTGGGTTCAACTGTCAGTACCAGAAAGGAGGGGGGAAATAAGGAAGATTAGTGGAGTAGAGGAGAGAATAGGGGGAAATAAAGTGAGGGGAACGGGGATCAAAATCAAATTCCATGATGTGAAAATTAGCCCACCTCGGGGCTGTGGATGTGGCTCAAGCGGTAGCGCGCTCGCTCGCCTGGCATGCGTGCAGCCCAGGTTCGATCCTCAGCACCACATACAAACAAAGATGTTGTGTCTGCCGAAAAGTAAAAAATAAATATTAAAAAAATTCTCTTTCTCTTTCTCTCTCTTTAAAAAGAAAAAAAAATAGCCTACCTACTATGTATAGCTATAATGCTCTAATAAAAAATATATCTTTATTTTAGATCTTCGATTATTTTCATCAGTTTTGTCATTTTTCTCATATAAATCTAACAAATACATATATGGGGGGGATTTCTCTTCCTTTGTTGCTATGCTAGTCAGCTTTTTGTTACTATAATACACGTGAGATAAATCTATTTATAAAGAGAAAGGCTAATTTCAGCTCACAGTTTTGGAGATTTCAGTCTATGACTGACTGACTGGCCCTGTTGCTTTGGGTCTGTGACAACACATTATGGCATGAGCACACAGCAGAACAAAACCATTTACCTCATGACTGGGAACAAAAGAAAAGGAGGAAGAGATTGAGCTTGAAGAGTATTGTGGCCCACAGTATATCCAGTAAATGGAAAAACTTCCACCAGACTCCATCTCTTAAAGGTTCTATCACCTCTCAGTAGTGCCAAGCCGTGGACTCAGGATTTAATGCATGAGCCTTTGGGGATATTTAAGATACAAACTATAATAGATGCTAATGTACTTATATGTTAATTTTAAATTCCACATAATTATTACTGGTAGATAGGAAGTCAGTAAACTTTTGTAACCTTATATTTTGAATCTTGTTGTCATCCCGTTTTATGATTATTTTTGTTGATTCTTTGGAAATCTGTGAATAAAAACTGTCCCATTTCTTTCTTCTCAATCTGAACACCTCATAACTTGTACATTTCTTGATTTAATACATTAGCTAGGACTTCTGCTACAGCGTTGAATAGGCATAATGAAAGGAGACATCCTTGCCTTGTTCTCAATCTAAAGGGGAAAGCATCTAGTTTTCCCAGTTGTTGGTTTATCAAGATGATAAAGTTTCCTCTAGTCATAATATACTGAGAGTTTTAATCATGAATGGATGATGATGGATTTTCTTGTCATGTGCCCTTTTTCTGTATCTGTTAATATCATATGATGATTCTTATTTAACTGTTAATAGTGATAGATTACATTAATTAATTTTCAAATGTTATAGCAGCCTTGCATACTTGGAGTATATCCCAATTTTGTCTAACTTTTCATTTCTCTTGCTAGATTAAAATAAGCTTTTGATTAATCAAAATTTTTAAACAGAAAGATATAGTATTGTTGTCATTGATTTATTAATTCAGAGGTCCCATATTTCCTTTTTCCCCCACATTTTTTACTGATGCATTGTATCTGTACATAAAGATGGAATTTGTTATGTATTTATACATGCTCACAATATAACAATATAATTTGGCCAATATCAATCTCTAGCATTTCCCACCTTCCTCGCCTTCTCCTACCTCCTGATCCCTTTCTTCTATTGATCTCCCTTTGTTTTTCATATTTCCCAACCCCTTTATCTTTTTCTTCTCTAGCTTCCACATATGAGTGAAAACAAATGACCCTTGACCTTTAGATTTTGACTTATTTCACTTCACATAATGGTCTCAAGTTTTATCCATTTTCCTACAAATAACATAATTTCATATTTTGTTATGGCTCAATAAAATAAAATATGTGTACACATACCACATTTTCTTTATCCATTCATCCATTCTAGGCTGGTTTCATAGTTTGGCTAACGTGAATTGTGCTGCTATAAACATGGGTATGCATGTATCACTGTTGTATGATGACTTACATTCTTTGGGGTAAATACCAAGGAGTGGTATAGCTGGGTCATATGGTGGTTCCATGCCTAATGTTTTGAGGAACCTCCATAATGATTCCCATAATGTTTGTAATAATTTACAACGCCATCAACAGTGTGAAAATGAGTACCCATATTTCTAAACTTCACAAATGGTTTGGGAATATACCAAGTGCTAATAACCATATCAGAGCTTATCTCAAGTTCACAGCACCAGAATATCTTTAAAAATATATATATATATGAAGCATAGTTGCTGAAAAAGAGTCTTAAGAGCTCCCTTACTCATCACTGCTATATTTTTAGTTATAAATGGGTTCATGTTTATTGTTACAGCCTTTCCTTGTCCAGAGTAAATATTTTTCAGAACTCTCTCATTATTGGACCTAATTAATGGATCTGAAATTTAAAGAACCCAGCCTAATTCTAAAGTGATCACTGGAAAATCATTATTTTTCTTAAGTTGAGGAAAATTTATGACCCAGGGTGGGATTCTGTGTTTGATGTTTTATCCACAGTCTAATTTAAAACATGGGTTGGGGGGGGGCGGGAAACTTGTGATAAAATTCAGGGCCTCTCTGCAAGCATTCTACCACTGAGCTAAATCCTTATCTCAAAAGCATTGCTCTTATAAAAGCATTCTGCCTCTAATTATTTTGAATTTACTTGCCTCTACCATTAAATATTAGCTCATTTGAGTTTAAGAGTCCTGTATGCAAGAAACATTTGTTTCATTTAATAATAATAAAACTCCCTAGCATGATGGCACACACCTGAAATCTCAGTAACTCAGTAGACTGAGATAGGAGTATCACTAGTTCAAGGCCCATACTTGACAACTTAACAAGCAAATGCCTAGCACATGTGAAGCCTGGATTCAATCCTCAGCATTGCATAAAAATAAAATGCACCTAGTTGCCCTCTCTTTGGGGGAAGAAAACAAAAAAAGGACTGGGAATGTAGCTCAGTGGTAGAGTACCCCTGGGTTTAATCCATAGTACCATTGGGGTCTTGATACTAACAGACATTTTTCTCTTGAGAATTAAAATGTAAATTTTTTAAATTCTCATTTTCTGTGAAATTATATTTAATTCTTTTTAAAGACGTCTTTAAGATCTGTTGATTGTGATGTTATTTCTAAAAGCTTTTTTTAATTGCTATTTTAATTAAGCTGCTTTGATCATGGTTGAAGCTTAGAAGGCTCTTTTTAAGGAGAAAATAATGATAATGTTCCTCTGTTTTGTAGTATGTTCGTGGTTCAGACCCTGTACTAAAGCTTTTGGACGACAATGGGAACATTGCTGAAGAACTAAGCATCCTCAAATGGAACACAGACAGTGTAGAAGAATTCTTGAGTGAAAAATTGGAACGCATATAAATGTTGCTTTAATTTTGTCCTATTTTGTTACCTTGTCAAATGAAATATTACAGCACCTAGAAAATAGTTGAGTCTCTTACAGTGAGGCATTAAACATCTAATTAGAAGTTGAAGTGGCAGCACAGCTCGTGATAGCTAAGGAGTTGGCAAGCTTCACAAACCCCGTTTTTTGTTTTTTTTTGTTTTTTTTTTTAAATAAATTTCTGTCCTCCTGCATTTGTTATACCACTAACAAAATGCTTTGTAATAGGCTTCTGGTTAATTATGCAAATGATAGTTTGTGATAATTGGTCTGGTTTATGTACAACCCATTTTTAAATTAAGAGAGGTTAATAAGAGATGATTGCTGTGCCTCATGTGCTGTGTGCTATTTTGAAAGTAATGACAGAAAACTACAAAGCAAATAAGACATGCCAAGCCTCAACTGCCTGATCCTCATAGCCTCTCATATTTGTGTATTATCCTATTTTCTTTTTAATGGAAAAGTTATAGTTTGTAATGAATGTACTGCTTAAAAACTTGGTAGCCTAATTATTGTAAAACATTCAAGAGCTGCAGTGAGAGTGAAACATTCACAAAAATTTGTATTAATGAAGACTACACATAAAACCTTTCTGAGGATTTGTGTAGATCCGATATTTAGCAAATTTTTGTGTTTTAGATTCTTACTGAAAAGTTCCACTTAAAAATGACCATTTACAAGACCAAAATATAAATAAAAACTTTGAAAATCTATCTGAATTTGAAATTATTCTGGTGTGTCCTCTCATGTTTAAAAATGATTAAGCTTCTCAGTGTGTTCTTATTTTTCATATGCTTTTCTCTTAGCCACAATATAAGAATGACTATACTGTTTAAAACTTTATCATAATTTCTTATTGTTGACAATAGAGGTTGATTACTAATCTTTCCCAGCGGTTTATATAGCTTTTTTATGTCCCTATTGCAATATAATTATATATAGTATTCATATATATGCATAATTTGCCCTAATATATTCCCAGTACTTCCTTTTCCCCTCTCTTCTACTCTTTGCCATTCCTTCCATTTATTTATGTATTTTTTTCCATTGGTGCCTTATAATTTTATATAAAAGTGGAATTCATTGTGATATATTTCTACATGATGTAGCATTATTTGGTCAGTTTTATTCACCTATTCATGTAATATTATAAATTATGTCGACTTTAAAAGCCAGCAAGAGAATGAATATAAATCTCTATACTTTGGCTAATCAAAATAATATAAGAAATTCTGGCAAACAGAGTATGGTCCACTTATTGATCATGAATAGCAGTGGAGAGGGCTATCATTTTGATAGTTCTAGGCCCCGGTTAATTTGCCACCAGTCCTTAATGGTTGTTGCTACTCCCAAATAAGGGGGAGATTAAACCTATTGTGGGCAGTAAAAAAAAAAATTTTTAAATAGGAGTTGTCCCCACATGCAGGAGAATAGTAGTATTTAATGATGAAACTTCAAAACTTCTGAGATTGGCATAGAAAATTAATTGGATTGGTTTCTGGGCAATAAGAGCCAATTAAATGAGTATTTGGCATTCGGGATAGAATGACAAAAGAAAGACCTAAAAAGTCTATTATATTCAAGTTATTATGAGAGATCAAAGAAGCTGAAATACCCTGCAATATCTTAGAGCTTTAGGTCCTCAAACTGATGAATAAAAGGGTATCTATCAAGCCCTGCTGTTTTAATTTAGAGATTCAAATTTGGAGATTCAAAACTAATGGGCCAATTCCAAGTGGTTTTTGCCTATTGCAATCAAAGAACAGTTTTTTAAAGAAACAAAACCACTGATTACCAAGAAAGGAGTATAAATACTAATCCAAAAAGTACCATTTTATAGCCAAATTCTAACGTTTGATTAAGCTTATTCAAATTCAGAAATGTGGATATGTGGTAGTCATTTGATATTTATGACTTTACTCCCCCTGCCAAAATTATGTTACTTATAACTCTAAAGTGAATTTATCTCTAAATTTCTAAATTTAGCAAAGGCTCTTATAAGGAGCTATAAGCAAGAACTGACGAATTCTGTTAAGAGGATTTGAGACATTAAAGCCATTTTAAAATTAAAGTGCAGAAAATACCTTTGAAAGCAAATACCGCAAAATTTTGGATCAGGGGCTGGAGAGTACAGTTCAGTGGTAGAACACTTGCTAGCACAAAGAGGGGCCTGGGTTTGATGCCCAGCATCACAAAAATATTAAAAGTTAAAACTGTCAATAGCTAGGGTGTAAAAACCTGTTTAAAAATACCTGGGAAGCAGTACAGATTGTGTATATGAACATAACTACATTTCTTTTTGTTTGAAAATTAAAACATGTTTTCATTATATCTGGTGGTGGCAGAATATTCTTTCTGGGGGAAAGAGGATATGCAATTGTGATGAAAAGTTCAGAATAAATCTTTGTTAATGAAAAGTAAATATTTTATCTTTGGACTGGCTCAACCCAGGAATCAGTAGCATGAAACAGTTATTCAAAAATACCAAAAAACTAAAACTAAAGATAATAAAACGAGGACTTTTTCTGGTAGCAACTTCTAAAACATACATCCCAAATATTATATTTTATCCATCCAGCATCATGAAGAAATTGAAGGTTAGACTTTAAAATTCAAAACCTTTTTTATAAGTGGTAGGAAAACTAAACTATATTTGATCCTCTCTTTTCAGAGTCTGCTTTTGAATTCCCCTCTTGTGAAAATTTAATTTGTAACCCCACAATACTATATGCACAGAACAGCAAAAAAAAAAAAAAAAAATTGAATCACCCAAAGTACAGGTTCCCAGCCAAGGTCAAATGAGGTGACACTTTGCCTTGTTTCAGCTCTCATACTGTAAAGAAGTGCATATAGTAACACATTTTTGGACTTTTTGTTGTTGATTTTACTTTAAAATAGACCTCAGGAGTGGTATTGAGGTTAAAAGTTACGTTACAGAAAAAAATACAGAATATGTTTTAGATCCTTCGTTCAGTTCTGAATTACAATGCTATTAGCTGTGAGTTGAATGTTATTACATTAACACTACTAAACAAGATCTCTAAATAGAAACACATAAAACAAGGTTATATGTTGATAGATTGATGAAAGTGTGACCAGAAGTTCCCATGAACCTACTTCCATGTTTTTCCTAGGAGCAATGATTGAGTATCTCAGTGTCTTCAGTGATTTTATATTATAAGTACCACGAATAACGAATATTTTAAGACAGGATCTTGCTACGTTGACCAAGTTGGTCTCACATTTGTGGTCCTCCTGCCTCAGCCAAGTCTGGGATTACAGACTTGTACCACCACACTCATCATCAGCTAACTTTATTAATCTTTTTGTTTAGCTATAATTTATATCTTAAAATTTGCCCATTTAGATTATACAGTTCGGTGGAGTTTTTTAGTATATTCAACTGTTAACCACAATCTAAATTTAGAACATTTTATTATCACTCCAAAAAGATATATTGTACCTGTTACACTCACTACAACTTCACCAGACCTAGGCAACCACTAATCTGTTTTCCAAATGAATTATATCATTTATGGCCTTTGTGTCTTGCATCTTTCCCTTAGTGTATCATCTGGATTCATCTATAAAATAGAGTGTACTTCAGTTCTTCTAGTGGTCAAATATCCCTTTGTATGGATATACCACCCATTATTTGGTAGACACTTGGGTTTCTATTTTGAGGCTATTATGAATATTGCAACTATATATCCACCCTGAAGGTGTTTTCATTTCTGTAGACAGGAGTGAAATTGCTGAATCATGTTCCATGTTTGTTTAATTTTTCCCCCCCGCTGTGGTTCTGGGATTGAACTAAGTGCCTTCCATATTCTAAACAAGCATTCTACCACCAAGCTACATTTCCAGCCCAGTCATGTTTAACTTTTTGAGAAACTGTCATATTTTTCCAAAGTGGCCATACCCATTTTTCATTTCTATTAGCAATGTATGAGGGCTCTAATTTCTGCATATCCTAGTTTCTTAATTTATCTTTAAGAGGATACTCATTATTTTATAGTCTTAGCATCAGAAGCCATTTAGTGTTAGACATACACTAACACTTTGCCCTCCACTAAATAGCCTTTAAACTGTTATTCTTTAAATCTTTGAATGTATTTGTAATAAATTTACCTGCTTCTGTCATTTTCCACTTCCCCAGCTTCAGTCATGAATAAAACCATAATGTCTCCATATGTGGTAGAGGTCACATTCTAATCAGAGGCAATCTTTAAACAGTTTAAAAGCACAAATACATAAATGCAGTTACAGTAAAGAGAAAAAAGTTGCTAAGAGAATTACAAAGAAACATAAATGAGTGTAAAGATCTTTGAATATATGACATTTAAACTGAGACCTAAAAGATGAAGAGAAGTTACCCAGGAAAAGAGTGAAAACACCTTCCAGTCAAAGAAGAGCATGTGCAACCACCCTGACCTAGGAAAGTCTAGCATCACCTAAAAAGGGGCAACTGGAACCCAGTGGGACAAGGGAGAATAGGAGGAACAGAGATTGGGAAGACAGGCAAAGAGGACATGGTTCATACCATCTTAGGAATTTAGCTGTGTATTGGAGCTAGGGTTGTGGCTCAGTGGTAGAACACTCACCTAGCACCACATATAAACACATAAATAAATAAAATAAAGGTCCATCAAAAAATAAAAAAAAAAAAAAAATTTAAAGAAGAATTTAGCTGTATATTGTTAGCTTCAGAATAAAACCCGAAAAGGAAAAATCCTTAACCAGGGGAATGATGAAATCCAGCAAGAACAACTCTAAAGTTCATTTTAACAATCAGTAAATACTCATTTATGCCTATGTGAACACTTAAGTACTTTATCTGATGCTTTCACTAGTGACTAATAACCTTCTGGGGAGTCTTAATTAAACAATTTGCTTTTTAAAACTATTCATCAACTAGCTTTGAAGAAAACTAAAATGCAAGCCCAAGGACTGGGGTTGTGGCTCAGTAATAGAGCTCTCATCTAGCACGTGCAGGGTGCTGAGTTCGATCCTCAGCACCACATTAAAAAAAAAAAATAAAGGTGTTGTGTCCAACTACAGCTAAAACAAAATATATGTTTTATTTAAAAAAAGCAAGCCCAAGAATAAATGTTAAATTGCTTGATATTGTAATGTTTGTTCACATATATTCAAAAGGACCATTTACTACTTATGTGAGTGAAGGGAAATTCTATTGGTTCACACCATACTTGTGCACTCTTCCTTTTCCCATCTTTTTGTTGTTCTTGTGGTAGTGATGATGGTGACCAGGTTTCACTGTTTGACGAACTGGTCTCCAATCCCTGGGCTCAAGTTATCTTCCCTCCTCAGCCTCCCAAACTACTGCAGGTATTTACCACCAAGCCCAGAAGTTCTTTTCTCTCTCTCTCT